CACAGAGAAACCCTTTCTCAAGAAAAAAAAAGAGAAATAACAGCAACAAAACACAATAGGAGAGACTGTTGGAAAGGTGGAAAGGAATGTAAGGGTTTCTTAGGCACCAAGAAGGACCCTGACCCAGGCTGAGAAGGAAGACGGCTTAATGAAAGGGCGCTAGCAGACTGAAGGCCCGAGGGAAGGAAACAGTACGACACAGAACACATTGTATCTGTTTCCACGAGAGCCAAGAGCCTCTATAGGACCAGACTGGACCATCTGGGTGCAGCAGGCAAACCCACAGGCTGCAGAGCTATCAACTCTGGACCCCGAGTACACCCTAAGACACTGAAGAGAAATCTGAAAGGTCCCCTAAAATCGGAAGCTCCCCTGGCTCCTTTGACATGTACATAAAAGCGTTGTTTTGTTGCTCTCCCATTTGGCTGGCTGGCTGGCTGACTGGACAGGTTAGTCAGGACTATTTAATGACTCTGCCTCAACAACAATAATTAAACAAAACGCAAAGTTTGTTGTCAGCATCTTGGTGAGAACACAGGAGATGGAGAGAAGGTTGATATGTGGTCCCTAGTTTTAGGCACAGTTGTTCTCACGAGAAGCCCCTCAGGATAGAAGCTATGCTCATGGAGCTTGTATAATTGCGGTAGAAATGTCTACAGTGCCACATGCAGACGACCCCTCATGTTCTGCATGACAGGAATTCCTCAGGTAAGGACACAGGCTACAGACCCTTTAAATCACACCTGCACCCCTACTGCTGCTGCCCCATGTCAGACACACGGCACTTTCTTTATGTTTGTTTTGGTTTTGTTTTTTGGAGATAGGGCTTCTCTGTGGCTTTGGAGGCTGTCCTGGAACTAGCCCTTGCAGACCAGGCTGATCTCAAACTCACAGAGATCCACCTGCCTCTGCCTCCCGAGTGCTGGGATTAAAGGCGAGTGCCACACCCGACACTTTCTAATATGACTTGCCCATCTTCCTGAAGGCCGGGTAGGCAGCCACCACTACTCAGCCTGGCATTCCTACCCCCATCCATCTGGCCCAGTGTGTTTCTCCAGCTCGGTCTCTCTCGACTCCTCTGCATTCTGGTCACAGCTGCAGTGCTTACTTACCTCAAGAGAACATCCCTATCTTTGCTCAGGTCTCACTCCTTACCAGCAGAAACCACCAAAGGCTGGACTGAATGGGAATGAATCTTCTGGATGCCACTTCTGTGAAGTCTTCCTTGCTGTCTACCTAACTATCTGTCGGCTCCCCTGCAGTGGAAATGCTGCAGATAGAATCCACAGCTTTACACATAGTAGGCTAGTGCTCTACTCAGACCACCCTAGGCATTTCTTACAGTTCTTATCCTGCTATGCATATCAGTCATACACATTTTCCTTTATGGGTTGAGTACAACTTATCTGAAATGCTTGAGATGAACATTACTTTAGAACTTCTTGAATTTGAGTATCTACACACTTAGCTATTATGGGGATGGAACATAATTCTATTCACAAAATTCATTTATGTTTCATGTATATTTTATAAATATCAGCTTTGTTAATCAGAATTATAGATATATATCACCCTGCCCATCCATACCTGCAACCTACTACATGGAATGAGGAGAAAAACTTCCCACTTGGTTTTAATTTTTCTTTATTTCTGTACTTACACACACGTGTGTGTGTGCATAGGTGTGTACATGTATGCATGTGTGTATGTGTGTGTGTCTGCATGTGTGGGGGCCAGAGGTTGATGTTGGGTGTCTTCCTCTATTGTGTTCCACCTTTTTTTTTTTTTTTTTTTTTTTTTTGGTTTTTTGAGACAGAGTTTCTCTGTATTGTTTTGGAGCCTGTCCTGGAACTTGCTCTGTAGACCAGGCTGGCCTCGAACTTACAGAAATCTGCCTGCCTCTGCCTCCCTAGTGCTGGGCCACCTATTTTTTTTTAAGGCAGAGGTTCTCACTGAACCTGAAGCTCAACAATTTGGCTAGACTGGTGGGCCAGCAAGCCACCAGGACCCTCCTGTCTCCACATCCCAAGTGCAGGATTACAGGCATGTACTGCCATGCCTAGCTTTTTATCTGGATGATGGAGATTCAAACCCAGGCCCTCATGCTTAGGAGATAAGCACTTTACTGAATGAGACGTCAGTTCAGCCCTCGACTTAAGATGTCATGTCTGTGATCAAAGTTTTATGCTTTTGGGATTTCAGGTTACAGCTGCTCAGTTCATACTACTGTCGTATGTATGCCTCGACAACAAACCTGTATGAATCCAGTAGAGAGCTTTGACTACAAAACATACATGCATTTTAGCATCAAGGAATTAAACGCTCACAAAAAACCACCAACAGGTTCATCTAGTGATGCTACCACGAGGCAGACCACCACGAGGAAGCACCCAGCCCTCCACCCTGTGAGAAGTGCCACAGTGCAAACTCAGACTTAGCTCATGGAACTGGACCACAATGCGGAAACAATTCCTGTCAGACAAGAGGCTAAACTCGGTTTTTTAAAAGGATACTTTTAGGCCCACAAGATGGCACAGTGGATGAAGGGGCTTGCTCTGTAAGCCTGACAGTGTGAGTTCAATCCCAGGAGACAACAGACTCACAAAGTTGTCCTGACATCCACATGATCCTCCCCGTCATGCGCAAGCACACACAAATGCATGGACGCACACGCAAATAAAAGTGAGAAAAGTGAAAACCACTTTTGGGAGGCTGGCCTCGAACTTAGAGATCCCCCTGCCTCTAACTCAAGTGGTGGGATTAAAGGTGTGTGCCAGCACTACTTGGCTTTTTCATTGTTTGACACAGGGTTCCACTAAATTGTCAGTATAGCCTCCTGCCTCTCTCTGTCTTCTGCAGACAGGATGACAGGTGTGGACCTTATAACCTCAGGTGAGCTGAGTTTTCAGCAGATGTGCACAGCTGCTTCCAGTAAACTCCAGCCCACCTCTGTACATCAACAGTCCAATGGCAGCTGGTCATGGAGCGCAAGACTTAATCCCAGCACTCAGGAGGAAAAGGCTGGAAGACCCTGTGAATTGGAAGCCAAGCCTGACCTACACAGTTAACAGTCTGTCTCAGAGAAAACAGTTTCAAAAGGACAAGATCTGAGAACTAAACAGACTAAGAACCGTTCCCCAGTCAACTCCTCAGAAACCCTGGAGGCTACGCACTGAGGGCACCTGAGCAAAGAGCCATCCCAGTCCAGCACGCGGAAAGGTAAGAGACAGACAGATCACTCTGACTTCAAGGCCAGGCCAGCCTGGGCTACATAGTCAAGTTCCAGATCATTGTGGCCTAAACTGAGAGCCTGCTGCAACAACAGTAAGACAAACAACAAAACCTTCACTGTCGGGCTTTCGTAAATGTTTCTTTTAGTATTTTTATATACATATAATCATAATCAAATCACACAGCAACACCAGGTGGAGTGGTGCACTCCTTTAGTCCCAGCACTCAGGAGGCAGAAGCAGGCAGATCTCTGTGAGTTTTGAGACCAGTCCGGTCTACAGATCAGGTTCCAGGACAGCCAGGGTTACACAGAGAGCCTGTCTCAAAAACAAACAAAGAAAAAAAAAAAAGAATTATCCATATCAGTGTTGGAGAGCACAGGAGAGTTAAAAACACTGGCTCACTCTTCCCAGACCTTGACTTTAAGTTTTTCTGTGCATAGCTGCTCTGAAAAATCCCTAATTTTAGTAGCATTTTGGTACATATACTTAAACTGACATATCACTTAATACACTGTTCCCTAACCAACCAAGTCTTTGGTCCTACAACAGTAGGTCAGCTTAGATAGCACGAGAGACCCAGGCCTCCAACAGAGCTCTGCAGGGCTGGAGAGCAGGAGGAGACATACAAGAAGTCTGTGCCCTGACTCGACGCTGACCAGGGACCCTATGGGTACCACCCCATTTGGGTGCAGAGGCCGCTGAGGAAGGCACCCAATTAAGGCTATTGAATGAGGTAGCAAGGCAGCTGAAAGGGGTGACTTGGGCTGAACACAAACCCTGGAAAGAAGCCAACTAAAGGGGTACATCGGTGCTGCAGCACCAGGGGACTGAGTCTAGCCTGCTCTCCAGTGAGTCTGAGGCTGTGCAATTGCCAGAAGCCGCTCTTTGCTGCCATGTTTGCTGAGACACACATAAACACAACACACCCTGCTCCAGCTGGCTCTAAGCTCCACCTGTACGAGTTCAAGGAACCCTCACAGCAACCTGCCCTGTGGCTGTTCTCAGTAAACTGCACAATGGGCCTCAACACAGTTGGCATGACCATGAAACAGACCCCTTAACCACCCTGCTGGCTGCTATGCTTTAAGTGAGCTAAAGAAAAATACAAGTAACACCAAATAGGTACCCATGATACTGCTTTGAGAGTGTGCCAAGCAACAGGTCTGTCGGGCCACACAATACAAGTTACTAAAAACAAGAGTCAGGTGTGGTGGCACACACCTTTAATCCTAATACTCAGGTGGCAGAGGCAGATGGATCTTTAGGAGTTTGGAGCCAGCCTGGTCTATATAGCAAATTCCAGGCCAGCCAAGCAAGGCTATATATCTAGATGAAGGAAGGAGAGGAGGAAGGCGGGGAGGTAGAGACAAGTATTATCTTTAAACACAAACACCATAGGCAAAGAACTATTACATCAATAGTAAAATATGTGAGTTTTCAAATAGGAGATGTAAGTATTGATTTCTGATTTATACTATGGGTTTTTTTTTGTTTTTGTTTTTTTTTTTGGTTTTTCAAGGTTTCTCTGTGTAGCTCTGGCTGTCCTGGAACTCGCTCTGTAGACCAGGCTGTCTTCCAACTCACAGAGATCTGTCTGCTTCTGCCTCTTGAGTGCTTGGATTAATGGCGTGCACCACCACTGCCCAGCTTTATTTATACTATGTTTAAACAGACTTTACTCACACAAGCCTAAAGAACCAGATCAACATATACCCAACACTGTGTAAATAAATTAACATCAAAAGACACAGTAAATAACAAAATTAATAAAAACTAGTTAAAATTTTAATCAATAACTTTTTTTCTGGAACACATCTACTTCTCTTCCGTGAGAAGGGTTAGGGTTAGGGTTAGCGTTAGGGTTTTGCAAATAGGCCAGATTTCCTTGGAAGAATGAGCCCTGAACCTCCCACTCCTCATAAGAAGCCAGTCTTTCAGGACTCACGGTGGCCATGCAGGAGATAATGAGTCAATGCTTAACATGGGAAGCAAACTGTGGCATAAATAGTAGACAGGGAGGCAATGTTTGGACAAACTCAAGTACGACACGACGTAACTGTCATAGGCCTCATTTTCTTCTTTAGCTCCTAACAAACCGAGCCACCAACAGGAAAAAGGTCACCACACAGAGAATGCTACGACATTTTTTACTTGTTAGACTCCTTTCCATCTTCTCTTTCTCCTCAGCTCTCGATACTGTTGTCAAATTCTACACACTGGCAAAGAAAAAAGGGGTGAAAATTGAGGTATTTTGCAGAGAAATGATAAAAGGTTTGCTGTGGTTAGTACAACGAATGCAGATAGACCAACCTAAATGCTTGGAACACATGGGCTGCTCGTGCAACCCTGAAGCCATCTCAATGTCTCTAACCCTTTACAGACACTCTCTCCACCTGCCTCCCACCCTCAGAAGTAAAACCAGTTCATTTCATAAAGCCACTGGGGAAACACGTTTCTCCTTTTAGGAGCTGTCAATTTACAGACAACATAAACAACCATTAGGCTTCTCAAACACGTTGTGAGAATCTACTCGGCTGAGAAGCTCTCCAACCTTCCCACATGCGGACAGGCATTCACTGAAGCCCAGACTACAAACGCAGACGTTGGAAGGCTGGGAGGGGGACACTGTGGGGCTTCCTGCAAATCACAAGCTTTCTCATATTGAACCGAAGGCTGCTGAGCCTTGGCAACAAGTCATATGCTCAAAAGACTCCTTACAGTAGTAATTTTTATTCCAACTGTAAAGCTCACACAGCTTAAACCCACTGAAGTTTACAGTTCATAGTTTTCAGTGTGTTCGGTCATGTGCAGCCACTGGTCTGGGAATGGACCTCAGTTGGTCAAGTGCTTGCCTGTATGAATGAAGGCTTGGCTAGACACCCAGGATCACATAAAGCACGCACTACAATCTCATCACTCAGGTGGAGGCAAGAAGATCAGAAGTTCAAGGTCATACTTGGTGGAAAAGCAGTTTGAGGCCAGCCTAAGCCAGCTGAGACAATGCCTTAAAAAGTGGGTGAGGGGTGGGCACAACAGGGAGGTGGTGAGGCCGTGGTGAGCCTGGGAGGGAAGGAGAGCCACAAACACACAGTTTGAAAATGTCACAATGGCCGGGCTGTGATGGAGCACACCTTTAATCCCAGCACTCGGGAGGCAGAGGCAGGCGAATCTCTGTGAGTTTGAGGCCAGCCTGGTCTACAAGATCAAGTTCCAGGGCAGCCTCTAAAGCCACAGAGAAACCCTGTCTTGAAAAAAAAAAAAAAAAGAAAAGAAAATGTCACAATGAACCAGGCAGTGGGGCACTCAGAAGGTCTCTGGATTTAAGGCCAGCCTGGTCTACAAAGAGAGAGTTCCAGGACAGCCAAGACTACATAGTGAAACCCTGTCTCAAAAATAGAAAAAAGCACAACAACAACAAAAGTTATAAGGATACCTAACACATGATGTGCCAATTTTAAAAAATAAAGATAATTTTTAAAGCAGAAAAAAGTGTCAAGGGGCATGTAACCCAGCACAGGGGCAGAAGCAGGCAGCTCTCTGTGAGCTCTAAGCCTGTGTGACAGTGAGTTTCAGAACAGCCAGGGCCACTTAGAGAGGCCCTGACTCAAAAGAAAAGAAAAGAAAGAAAAGAAAAACAGTATAATAATCTCAGCTGTGTAATTTCAGAATATTCCCAGTGAACAAAAAATAAATCTCATGAACTGTTTTATCCATGTTTCTCCTGGTATCTGTTTCCAGGTATTTTAAAATTGGCTAGGGTGAATCTACATACTATAGGCTATAGTATAGAATGCTGCATGTCTAGCTGACACCAAACCAAAATTCTTAGCATTTTTTTTTTGGTTTTTTCGAGCTAAGAATGGCTGAAAAATTTACATTCAGCATCCATAATTCATTAGTGTACCTCAAATTCATCCATGTTAAAGGGGAAGACAGAGGCCAGACATGGTAATGCATGCATTTAACCTTTAATCCCAGCACTCAGGAGGCAGAGGCAGATGAATCTCTGTGAGTTCCAGCCCAGCCTGGTCTATATAGAAAATTCCAGGTCAGCCAGGGCTACATGTACAGATTCTGTCTCAAAAATGAAAATAAAGGGATGGGAGGTAGTATACTTGGATTAGCCACAACTGTCCAAAGTTGCAACTTGAAAACATAGAAGACGTACTTTGCTAGTGGGGAACCCTTCCTTAGGATCAAATACAAGTTGGATAAAAGAACAACGGGGCTGGAGAGATGGCTCAGCGGTTAAGAGCACTGGCTGCTCTTCCAGAGGTCCTGAGTTCAATTCCCACCAATCAATGATGGCTCCCAACCATCTATAGTGGGAACTGATGCCCTCTTCTGGCACAAAGGCATACATGAAGATAGAGCTCTCATACATAAAATAAACAAATCTGAAAAAAACTTTAATTATTAAAGAAATATTGTCCAGTTTGGAAACCCAGCCAGAGGCCTTTCTCTGGACGGCTCCGCTTTCACAGCCAGGCAAAGGTCTCTCGAGAAAGCAGCCTGTGTGCTGCTCAGGCTGCAGGCTCTAGTGACCCAAGTATGCACATGGCTGAGACCTCACCTTCAGGCATCGCATGGGGTTCTGGGAGCGGGAAGCAGTAGGTCCAGGAGGGTGTCTTGTTCTCTGCACTTACACGGGGTGCTATCTCCAGAGAAGTCCACAGACTGTGCCCAAGATGCACTGTTCTAAGTTGTTTTGAGCTGTCCAGCTGCCCTCACCAATAAGTCAGTCTTTGTAGGACGACAAAACCACCAGTCAAAGCAGATGCATATGGACTGAGGGGAAGCTTTCTTTAGTGTCTAACATAGCTGGATTAAAACAAAGAAACTTAACAATTAAGCAGATCTGAACTTTAATCATTACTTTAAACAGCAGTTCACGGGTGTCAGGCTCAAGAGTCTAGTCTCAACACCTACTAATGGGATCTGGGGAGTCTGACTTAAGGCCTCAATGAGCCCTTTTGTTCAAAGAAAATTAATTTGATTAACATATAAATAAGATCAAAAAAGGATTACTGGGGGCTGGAAAGATGGCTCAGAGGTTAAGAGCAATGACTGCTGTTCCAGAGGTCCTGAGTTCAATTCCCAGCAACCTCATGGTGGCTCACAACTATCTATAATGCGACCTGGTGCCCTCTTCTGGTGTGCAGACAGAACACTGCAAAATAAATAAATAAAATCTTTAAAAGACACTGACACTTACAACTTGTTCAGTGAGTGACTTGTGTTGCTCATAGTTGAACTCTAGTAATGTATATGTGGTTTTATTGTAATTTCCAATGATTTAAATACATGTTCACTTCCTGAATTTTCCAAAACACAATCAGACTTCTTTCCTTGTTTTGGTTTTTCCAGACAGGGTTTCTCTGTGTAGCTTTGGAGCCTAACTGGGCACTCATCTGTAGAGCAGGCTGGCCTTGAACTCAGATCTGCCTGCCTCTGCCTCCCAGATGCTGGGACTAAAGGCGTGCGCCACTATCACTCGGCTAAAACTTCCTATTCTTAACTCTGGTTTCCTGGCTTAAATTTAGCCCTTTTCAAGAACACATGTGGTTCTTAAGCTGGAAATGAATACACATATACGCAAGCACGGACATCATTTTCCTGAGAGCTAATCAAATACTTGGAACTAGACAATAGACAGAACTCTGATATTATATTTTCTGCAAGCATTGGATTGATTCCTCAAGCGTAGGACAAGTGCGACAACTATTTGCTAAAAGGATTATTTCAAGTCCCTTAATGCAAGATTACTGAAAAGATTTGGGGCCCCACAGTGGTGGTGCACACCTTTAATCCCAAGGCAGAAACAGGTGGATGTCTATGAGTTCAAGGTCAGCCTGGTTTACAGAGGGAGTTCCAGGACAGCCAGGGCTGCTGCACAGAGAAACCCTGTCTAGAAAGCAAAACAAAAGATTAGGGAACCATCAAAATGACTATCCTTCAAACTACTCTTGTTTGGTTTTTTTGAGACAAGGTTTCACTGTGTAGCTCTGGCTGTCCTGGAACTGGTTTTGTAGACCAGGCTGGTCTCCAACTCACAGAGATCCACCTGCTTCTGCCTCCAGAGTACTGGGATTAAATTAAAGTTAAGCACCACCACCACCTGGCCTTTCAAACTACTCTTCATTTAAACCTTCTGGCTTCGGGAGTGTTCAAAAGCCTGCCTGGTCACACATCTATAATCCCAGTGTCTGGGAGATGGAGGCAGGGGGTCAGTAGTAGTTTAGAGTCCTCTTCCGCACAAACCCCACCTCAATCAAAACAAACCAACAACAAAAAAGCAATGGGAACAGGCTCCTGAAAGGAAGACAGACAGGAAGATCATGAGTTTCAGGCAGGCTTGGCTTTATTCAGAGAACTGTCCCAAAGTCAACATGTTAGAAAGTTTCAACAGACAAAACATTTTGGGGCTAGAGATGGGTCAGCAGTTAAGAGCACACTGGCTGTGCTTCCAAAGGACTGAGGTTCAGTTCCCAGCACCCACATGACAGCTCACAACTCCAGCTACAGGGGGTCTGATTCCATCACACAGAGAAACACACAGGCAAAACATCAGTACACATAAAGTAAATTTAGGGGCTGGAGAGATGGCTCAGAGGTTAAGAGCACTGGCTGCTCTTCCAGAGGTCCTGAGTTCAATTCCAAGCAACCACATGGTGGCTCACAACCATTCATAATGAGATCTGTGCCCTCTTCTGGCCTGTGGACACCCATGCAGACAGAATACTGTACATGTAAAAAATTAATCTTTTTAGAAAAAAATTTAAAAACACAGTTGGGCATGGTGGCACATTCCTGTAATGCCACACTACTTGGAAGATAGGTGGAGGCAAGCGTATCTCAAATATTGAATGCCATGTCTGCCTGTGCTATGTAAAAAGACTCTAAAGAAATTTCTAGTTCACTAGACAGTGGTGGCTCACCCCTTTAATCCCAGCACTCTGGAGGCAGAGACAAGCAGATCTCTGTGAGTTTGAAGCGAGCCTGGTCTACAGAGTGAGTTCCAGGACAGACTCTAAAGCTACAGAGAAACCCTGTCTGAAAAAAAAAAAAAAAAAGAAGGAAAAAAGAAAAAAACAAAACCCTAATCCCCAAGGACAACTGAGTTCACCTTAGTGCTGAAGAACATACCAGGGACACCAAGTACACTACACCACCTGTGTCCTCACGCTTTCCAAACTCAGGTCTGGGTGATCAAGTTTTTCAAGTCATTGTTTCTGATTTCTCTGATTTTTTAGATAAAAAAATATATATATATACACAAAGACAAGAACATCAGTGACCTCCATCTTCCAGTTAGGCATGGGTACGTCGCTAATTCCTGTTGATTTAAAAGCTGCCTCAAGCTGGTGAGATGGGGCAGAAGGCACTTGCCACCAACTCTGATTCCTGGGACCCACCCGGAGAAAAGAAAGCTAACTCCCAAACACAGTCCTCAACAGAGAGAGAGACCCCAAATGTTCTAATAAGGAAAGAAAGATGCCTCAGGAGCCAAGTCCCATGATTACGCATCAACCCTCAAGGAATAGAAAAACAATGTCAAACAAGAATCAAGAGGACAAAAATTCAGATATCAGGACTGGAGGGATGCTTAGCAGATACGAGCACTGGCTGTTCTTGCCGAGAACCCTGGTTTGATTCCCAGCGCCCACATGGCAGCTCACAACCATCTGTAATTCCAAGGGCACCTGCCGCATCAGACACACATGTAGACAAAATCAGACACATAAAAATAACCGTTGAGCTGGGCAGTGGTGGCGCACGCCTTTAATCCCAGCACTCGGGAGGCAGAGGCAGGCGGATCTCTGTGAGTTCGAGGCCAGCCTGGTCTACAAAGTGAGTTCCAGGACAGCCTCCAAAGCCACAGAGAAACCCTGTCTCGAAAAACCAAAAAAAAACAAAACAAAACAAAACAAAAAAAAAGAGTTAGTTCCAGGGCAGCCTCCAAAGCCAGACCCTGTCTCGAAAAACCAATAATAATAATAATAATAATAATAATAATAATAATAATAATAATAGTAATAACTATTGTTGAAACTCAGACAACAAATGGGACATAGTGTCAACACCTTTAATCCAGTACTTGGGAGGCAGAGGCAGGTGGATCTCTGTGAGTTCAAACCCATCCCGGTCTACAGAGTGAGTTCCAGGAGGGCTACAGAGTGATAACCTGCCTTGAAAAACAGCAGCAAACAAGGCTGACACTGACAATTACCCTGCATCCACTCCTTTCATCTGTCAGAAAACCATCCTACTGTAACTTCATAGGACTCAATGACAACACGTGGACACACAGACTGAGCAACTTGTGTGGCCACGTCCTGTAAACCCAGAACCTTGGAGAATGAGGTAGAGAAGAGGATCCCTAGTGAGGAGCCCAGCTGAGCAACACAGTAAGCTCCAGGCTTGCCCAAGCTACACAGCAAGACCTCATCCTTCCAAAAACAAACAAGATGGCTGTGGAGACGGCTGTGTGGCTGAGAGTGTTTGCTGCACAGGCATGAGGACCTGAGTTCGAATCCTCATCGGGAAGTAAAAAGCCAGGCATAGCCACACATGTTCATAACCCCAGTGTTGGCAGGTCAGAGGAAGTGGACCCTAGGAGCTCCCTGGGTAGCCGGACTGGCCAAGCTTCAACTCAGTCAAAGAACCAATTTTTGTTTTTTAAAGATTTATTTTATGTCCACAGGTGTCTTTTTCTGCACACCAGGAGAAGGCATGGGATTCCCATGAGACTATAGTGTTGGGAATTGAACCCAGGACCTCTAGAAGAGCAGCCAGTGCTCTTAACCACCAAGCCATCTCTCCAGCCCCCAAATAACCTATCTTAAGGAACTAGGGAGTGACAGGACATCTGACCCGATGTCCTCCCCAAACTCCAAGTGCACAATGCATCACACACATATCCACAAAAAGAAACCAAGACTTATTCAAGTCGCTTTGGAATTGTACTGAAAGCCATGATCTAAGCAACCAGAGAGAATTAAAAAGTTTCCGAGTCCAGTGGCACAGATCTGCAATTCCCAGCTACTTGTGAGATCCTAGCTCAGAAACTAACAACTAAGTAATAAAATGGGGGTGTGAGTAACGCTACAGCTCAGTGGTAGAGCCCTCCCCAGGCTGCAGCATGGCAGAGTTGGTAAAGCACTCGCTGCCAAGCTGAGACATCTGAGTTCAGTCCCCACAACCCACACGGTGGGAGGAGAGAACCAATTCCTTCAACCCGTTCTGACTTACATGCATGTACATTTCCGTACAATTAAATAAATGTAATACAAAAATTAGTTCCATTGAAATTTACAGATTTGCAATCAAGATCACACTGCTGTGCAGCCGGCCAGATACTGTCAAGTGACGGTATTCTAATGTCAGACCTTCTTAACCAAAAGCAACCACAAGGCTGCAGAGAGAACTCCAGTAAGAAAGGACCAACAAGGGGGGGGCGGTAGTGGCGCATGCCTTTAATCCCAGAACTCGGGAGGCAGAGGCAGGCGGATCTCTGTGAGTTCGAGACCAGCCTGGGCTACAGAGCGAGTTCCAGGACAGCCTCCAAAACAACACAGAGAAACCCTGTCTCGAAAAACCAAAAAAAAAAAAAAAAAAAAATCAACAAACTTAAAGGCTGAGCTACACTGCAGTCACGCTTAGGCGCCAGCCAACATTAGAGACCCTGAAAACACATTTCCTGTAACCGATGGCCCCAGTCCCATCTCCCAAAAGGTCTGAATGTCAAGTCAGAGCTGCTCCTGCTGCTTTTTGGGTTTTCTGTATTCCCAACGGATGTTTCCTGGCTCACTCGAGTGTTGTTCAACCCCTCAGGTTCCGAAATCTCAATCTGCAACACCCACGTCGCTCAGGCGCTCCTGACACAGCGGGGAACGGAAGCCAACACGGCTTCACGAGGGGAGACTCAGCGCTGGCCTTTGTCCCGCAGCACCTAGGCCTGCTGTGCCGTGACAGCAGCGATGGCAGGGACCTAAGCTTGCACGCAAGCCGTTTTCCAGGGGCTTCCCATTTTGAAACTCTCCTTCACTGTCGGTATGAGACTCCCTCTCTTGCCAGACCCTGAAGGGGCCTGCAGAGCCACACAGCACCCTGGGGTGGGGGGTGGGGTCGCTCCCTCCCAGGCTGGACGGGGTAGCCTGCAAAGAGTGGTTCCGTGTCTGCACGTCTGACTGCTTAAGGGAACTCAAGCGTGGGTGATCCTCCTGGACGAGCTAACAGGCCGTCGAGATACAAAAGGGCCTCTCGGGTGCACGGAGGGCTTCTAGCAAACTCATTTCTAGTCAGCTCTAGGGCTGCTTGCTACAGAACTCGGCCTGTCATGTCGTGGACTCATCGCTCCCCGGGAGCCCGGGACTGTGGTTTCACGGTCTGGGGAGTATTCGGGCCTCCGAGGCCTACCCCGATAAGTGTGCACTCGGGACCCGAGCCGCTGCCTTCCCAGCTCGGAGGCCCAGACCGAGTTTCCCGCCCCACGGCCCGACCAAGAGGTTGGTGACAGTTGAGGAAGCTGGGACCGGCCCCAGCAGGCTGGAACCGGTCTGGGCCGAGCTGGAGAAGGCAGGGGGGGGGAGGGAGAGACAGCCTCGCGCTCTCCCTGCGCGCGTGACTCACGCTGGCCGCTGACGTCAGGCGTGCGCGCGCGGCGGGGGGGGCTCTACGTACGTGTAGTGCTGCGGTTTCTCGGGCTGTGCCTGCAGCACCTGAGCGGTAGCGGCCGGGGGCGCCGAGGAAGCTGCCGAGCCGCCGGGCCCGGGGCCCTTCGACATGGTCCTGTCTTCCTGCCTCTTCGCCGCTCCCCTTTTATTATTCAGTCTGCGCGGTCCGCGCCGAAGACCCACGGCGCCTGCGCCGCGCCACGAGAACGTGAAGACCCCCCGCACGGCAGCAAAGGTTGCTGGGAGTTGTGGTCCTCCTTTCGGCTGAAATTTTAGCGTTGGCACAGGGGCCCTGCCGAAGCGCAAGACCACAATACCCAGAGATCTTTGCGAAATGTGTCCCGGATGCTCAGGATGCGCGATGGCTTGTGGTAATTGTAGTCTAGTCGCTCTTAATGGTACCAGCGCGTTTTCAGTGTGGTAGGAGAGCTTTTCCTTGAAACTGGGACCTTCGGAGTACGAGAAGCCAGTTAGGGAGGCCCTAAACGATTCCACCGAGACTATTCCAAGTGTAATTACACCTCCAGCAGTGCAGTAATTACCTTGTCTCCGTACCAGTACAGTTTGCGCATGGATTCTAAAGGCAGCCTAGAGCATTGCCTCCAAACAAGCAAGCAAAACTTGTCAGCCAGCATCTTCTTGAGATGGTAGTAGCCTGTAAATCAACAGAGGAAGTACGCCGCTGGCAGCTTTGCCCTACACAGTATTGTTCCGTGCCTCATTAACGTTTAAACCTGGGCTCCCGAACTCAGTGACTGGCCCAAACACCGTGTTTCCAGTACGCTGAGGTCCAAGGGCGAACTTAATCTCTATCTAGCCCTCTTTTAGGTACTGGTAAACTGTTGAGAAGCGTCACGGTACACTCCATATGAAGAGCCAGGGTCTGAGTAAGGAATAAGTTATAATCTATTTTGGTTCCCCTTTCTGGGACAACCTCTTTGTTTGAGAAAATACAGGGCAATCATAGCCTCACATTTAGGCATTTGGTTTTATGAAACGATCTGGATATAATGTCACAAGACAGAGGAAGGAAAATCACAAGTTCCAGGCCAAACTGGGCTACATACTGAGACCCTATCTCAAAAGACAATAGCGGTGGTGGTGCACGCCTTTAACCCCAGCACTCAGAGGCAGAGGCAGAGGCAGGTGATCTCAGTGAGTTGGAGGCCAGCCTCGGCTACAGAGAGACAGGCGCTGGTGGCGCACACCTTTAATCCCAGCACTCGGGAAGCAGAGGAAAGTGGGTCTCTGTGAGTTCAAGCTCAGCCTGGTCTGCATAGCTAGTTTCAGGTCAGCTAGAGCTACCCTGTCTTAAATACTACACCAAGAACAACAAAATGGCAGGAGTGCTTTCTTCGCGAGGCTGGAAGCCTGAGTTCGATCCCTGGAACTGCCTGTAAAGGTGGAACGGGAGACCCGACTCCCCGAAGCTGTCCTTTTCACACGTGCCTGCCCCTCACATGTACACACAACCAAATAATAACAATGTCCATCACAGCAGCATCACCTGTTTTCTATACCCAGTCTATTTCAACTTCATTTTCTTTTGCTTGTGATATGTTTGTTGTTATTTTGCTTTACTTAATGTATTTAAATTTATTTTATGTGCATTGGTGTGAGGGTTTCAGATCCCCTGGAGCTGGAGATACAGACAGTTGTGAGCTGCCATGTGGGTGCTGGGAACTGAACCCGGGTCCTCTGAAAGAGCAGCCAGTGACCACTGAGTGCTGCCGCCCCCAATGCGCATTGTTGCCGTTGCTTTTGAGGCAGGCAGGCTTTGAACTTGATACATAGATCAGGCTAGACTTGAACTCACGGAGGCCCACCTGCCTCTGGTTCCCAAGTGCCAGGATTACAGGTGTGAGTCCCCACACCAAATCAAATCTACCGTTTCAAATTGATTTGTTTAGTTAAATGAGACCATTTTAGTTAATAATGGTCTCATTAAAGAAATGTATCTGGGCTGTGATGTAACTTAGTTGGTATAAACCTGCACGGGAGCCGGGCGTTGGTAGCGCACGCCTTTTTTTTTTTTTTTTTTTTTTTTGGTTTTTCAAGACAGGGTTTTTCTGTATTGTTTTGGAGGCTGTCCTGAAACTCACTCTGTAGACCAGGCTGGCCTCGAACTCACAGAGATCCGCCTGCCTCTGCCTCCGGAGTGGTGGCGCACGCCTTTAATCCCAGCACTCGGGAGGCAGAGGCAGGCGGATCTCTGTGAGTTCGAGACCAGCCTGGACTACCGAGTGAGTTCCAGGACAGCCTCCAAAGCCACAGAGAAACCCTGTCTCGAAAAACCAAAAAAATAAAATAAAATAAACCTGCACGGAGCCTGAATTTTGTCTTCTGCACCAAATAAACCTGTAATTCCTGCCCTTAGACAAGGTGAGAGCAGGAGGGTCAGGAGCTAAGATCATCTCAGTTATAGTGGATCCAAGGATCTATATAGCAAGACCCTGTTTGGAAAAAAAAAGAAAAAAAGGGCTGTTGAGATAGCTCAGGGTTGAAAGCGCTTGCTACCAAGTGTGAAATCTCAGTTTGATCCCTTGCATTGTGGGAGAAGAGAACGGGTTCCATACTTGCACCGGGGAGAAAATAAATGCAATTTAAAAACCCTTAAAGAGAGAAGCTGGGTGAACTTGTTGATAAACACGTTTAATCCTCTCACTTGGACACAGAGGAGATGGATCTCTGCGAGTCTGAGGCCAGTTTGGTCTAAACTGCAAGTTCGAGGCCAGTTCCACTCTCCGTAGTGAGAGCCTCTCTCGAAAGAAACGAGGTGGGAGGCACACTGAAAGCTCATTTCAAAAGATCTGAAGGGTAGGAGAGGGTGGAGCAAATGGAAATTGTTAGTGTTCGAGAACGACACAAACTTTTTCTTTTTTCAAGTTCTGTGTAACCTCACTTGGGAAGCCAATTTGTCAGCTTACAAAGCTGACAAACTGGTATTTCCTAAACAGGCTAAGTCAATTGTCTTGCCAACTAGAGCTGTTTGAAGATGAGCTATTCCAAAAGGACAAATAGAAATGATAGCAAGCTGCTTTATTCTTAGGATTAAATCCAAAGAATTGGTTTGATTTGTTCCTCGAAGTCCCCAAGTGTGAACTCACTACAGAAACCATGGCTCATAGATTTAATTTTTAATGATGAGCAAGCATCTAACACAAGCTTCCGAGTAAGCATGTACTGTAGAATTAGGAGATGATATCATCCAGATTGCTTAATTTACTGAAGAGGGAATCGAAACCCAGAAAAGTAGCTTGCGGAAAGTCACTCAGCAAGTTAATGAAGGGAAAGGAGCCGGCCGAGGACAGCAGTCGATGGATGCGGCATCACTCTGAAGTGTGTGGGACCAAACCCGGGCTCCCCGCACCGTGTCCGGCAAGTCCACTGTGCTCCTGACCCCCACCTCACTCACTCTGTCTTGATTGTGTTGGGCTTTCGGCTCCTCCCCGTTTCCTTGCTGCTTTTCCTCGCACTGGTCAGTTCAGGGAAAAGGAAACCAGCATTAACTGTCACCAGAGAGGGAATGCCCCACTCTGGCCATTCTTGGATGGACGAGTTACATCTTTATCTTGTTGGGTTTTTTTCCCCCTCGAGGCAGGTTTGAGATTTCCCTTGACAGTTACCAAAACCCAGAGAAAAATAACTGAGTGCGACGGTTCATGAATGTAATCCTGGCACTCAAGAAGCAGACAGCAGCAGGCTGTGGAAGATGGGTGTGGCAGCATGGGCCTTTAACCCCAGGACTTGGGAGACAGAGACAGACAGATCCCTGAGTTTGAGGCCAGTCCGGTCTACTGAGCTATTTCTAGGACAGCCATGGTTGCATAGAGAAACCGTGTCTTGAAAAACAGAAAAGAGGACTGGAGAGATGGCTCAGTGATTAAGAGCACTAGCTCTTCTTCCTGAGGACCTGGGTTCAATTCCCAGCACCCACATGGCAGCCCACAGCTGTCTGTAACTCAAGTTCCAAGGGATCTGTTACCTTCATGCACACAAAATAAAAGCTAAATAAATTATTTAAAAAAAAAACTCATTCGCTGGGTGTTGGTGTCACATGCCTTTAATCCCAGCACTTGGAGAGGCAGAGGAAACCGGATCTCTGTGAGTTTGAGACCAGCCTGGTCTATAGACCGAGTTCCAGGACAGCCTCCAAAGCCACAGAGAAACCCTGTCTCAGAAAAAAAAAAAAGATTCATTACTTAAAAAAAGAAAACAAGGCCAACCTGGGCTACATGAGACCCTATCTCCAAGAACAAATTAGGTAAATAATAAAGCTGTGCGGTGTTACGAGGACTCTAGAGCCAAGTGTGGTGGGTCACACAGTCTAAGTCCTCAGAAGGCTGAGGCAGCAGGAGAGCAACACAAGATATACTGGACTACACAGTGATTTCCAGGGTAGCCTGGGCTATAGAATAAGACCCTGTCTCTCAAAGGGGATGAAGTAGACACATTGTCTCATTCACACACCTGAAATCCCAGCCCTCCCGGTGACAGCAATGCCTATCTTGGCAATATAGGGGATTCCAGGCCAATCTGACCTAATTAAGGAAACCTAATCTCAACAACGCAAGGGATTGGGGGTGTTGCTCAGTGATTGAAGGCTTGCCCAGCTCGGGCCAAGCCCAGGATCCCTAGCATTACAAAAAAAAAAATCACAATCAAGGCAAGCATGACCAGGCACAGCCATGGCCCAGACAGCACCCAGACAATGAGGTCCCCGACGGCACCCAGTGTCACCGCAAGACCTACATCACCACTGCCCTCGGTGGCCTCATTGGCGGCATAGGCTCAGCTTACAGCGTAGTACTCCACCCAGCAGACTCCCACCTGGAAGCAATGGCCAGGGCTGTTCAGTACATGTTCACTGCAGCTGCCGTTGGAGCTATGTTTCCCCTTGCCACCTATGTCAGTGCCCAAGTCTGAGAGAAGCCGGATGACCCCCTGAACTACTTCATCGGAGGCTGCGCGGCAGGCCTGACCCTGGGAGCAGGCACT